AGTGCGCCCCCGGCGGCGCGGAGGTCTACCTGCCGAACGTGTCTCGGGGGAGGGGCGGGGTCTTGCACAGGGGGCGGGGTCTTGCACAAGGGGCAGGGTCTTGCACAGGCGGCGGGGCTTGCACACGTTCTCCCCCCCACCCTCCCGGAGGCCAAGGGGAGTCATGTAGGTGGAGGCAGGTGGTCCCTGGTGATGGGGAGGGGGGTGTTGAGTGACACATGTGTGACCTTGACAGGACCCAGGCGTGATCCCCCTCCCCTGACATGATCCCCCCCCAGCACCTGTGCAAGGCCTCATACCTCCCCAAACTTCCCATTGCTCATCCTACCCCAGGGGATCCCTGTGTCACCACCACCTCGTTACCCTAAGTGACCCCATATGATCCTCCCCACACCATCCGCCTCCCCGTGAGACCCCTCGTGTGAACTCCCCCCAGGGTGACAGCCTCCTACCCAATCCCATGGGAAAGAGGCGCTGGCAGGAAAAGGAGCCGCTGGGTTTATTTGGGGGTCAGGGTCCCCCTCGGCCCTTTTGGGTCGATTTTTCCTGATTTTGGTCCTTTTTCCCCAAATCCAACGGCAGGGGCAGGGGGAGGGGTGAAGGCACCTCACGGGGGGAAGGGAGGGGGCAGAGACCTGGGGAGGGGCAGCAGGTGACCACCCCAACCCCGGGTCCCCTCTGCCCCCACCTGCCCAGGCTCTGTCCAGGCCTGGGGTCCTCCTGGAGGTCCTGCAGGGACTGAGGCTGTCGGGTCCGTCTCTGCCCCTAATCCCATTCCTGCACCAAATCTGCCGTTTTCCCCAAAAAAGCTGCAGTGCCAAAAAAACACCTTAAAAAAGCCAAAATGCCCCAAAAGGGAAGTGGAAGAGGTGCAGGATGACCCCTCCCCTCAGCTCCCTGGCGGGTCCCCCCAAATGTCCTCAGAGCAGGGGCAAGTGGCCACAGCCCCAGGGGGATCCCCAACACATGGGGGTTTCCCAGGAGGAGGGGGCCTCCCCATCAGGACCCCCCGCCCCTCACCCCCGCCATGGGGCACCTGCCCCCCCCGGTACCCCCGAGCGCTGGGGAGGGGCAGTGGGGGCGGCGGGGGTGGGTACACGGTACGTATTCCACCCTCATCAGGGGGCCGTAGGGGCCGCAGTGGCAGCCGCCCTGCTCTGCTCATTTTGGGGGGTGGGGGGGGGACCCCCTCAAGCCCCCCTCTCCTCCTCCTCCTTCTCCACCACCCTCCCAGCACCCCCAGAATCACCCCGGCAGCCGCTGCTGCTGATGCCCCCAGAGCCGCAGCCGGGGGGAGCATGGTGGGGGTGTCCCCGGCTGGGGCACCAGAGGAGCCAGGAGGGGGGTCCCCGGCCCCAGCACGGGCCTGCGTGCAGAGCGGGGGGGCAGTAGGGGGCTCAAGGGCCGCGAGGCACACACGGTACGGGGCACGGGGCTGCAGCGCCCGCACAACGTACTCCCCCCGCTCCCCCCGCACCAGCGTCTCGGTCACGGCACCCCCCCAGGCCGCAGCCAGCTCAGCCGCAGGGATGCACCGGGAGGGGCTGGCGGCCACCGCACCCGCAGGGCCCCCCCCGGTGCTGCCTGCACCCACAGCCCAGGCGTGGCTGCAGCCCCTGGTGAGGTGGCCACAGCACCATTTGAGGCCACTGGGGACACGGCTGCAATGCCAGGGGAAGCCCCCCCGGCCCCTGCGGCAGGGGTCTCGCAGGCGTCCATCTCCCCCTGCAGCTCGCCCACCGGCAGCCCCCGCAGCCGCGCGGGCGCCTGGCACAGCAGCCCGCGCACCTCGAGGCGCGGCGGCGCGCGGCGGCGCAGCCAGTCCCGCAGCCAGGCCAGGTTGCAGCCACAGAACCAGGGGTTATTGCGCAGCCCCAGGTGGCTCAGGCTGCCCAGGTCATCGAAGAGTCCCCGTGGCAGCGTTGTCAGGTTGTTGTCCGACAGGTCCAGTCGCTCCAGTGCCCTCATCCGTGCCAGTGTGCCGGCCGGCACGTGGCTGATGGCATTGGCAGCCAACGAGAGCCGGCGCAGCCGCGCACGGGGCAAGTTGGCCGGTGGGGCCGCGAGCGCGTTGCGGCCCAGCGAGAGCTCGCTCAGGTTGCCCAAGCGGCTGAAGGTGTCGTCGGCCATGCGCTGGTTGGCCAGCAGGTTCCCGTCCAGCACCAGGCGCCGCAACGCCGGCAGCCCCTCGAAGGCGCGCAGCGGGATGGTGTGGATGCGGTTGTCGTCCAGGCGCAGCTCCTCCAACGCTGGCGGCAGCCCGGCCGGCACGCTGCTTAGGTGGTTGCGCGAGAGGAAGAGGAGGCGCAGGCGGCGGTTCTCGGCGAAGGCGTCCTCCTCAATGCCGGCTGCCGACACCGAATTGTCATCCAGGTGTAGGCGCTCGAGCAGCGGCGCCCGCGCCAGCGCCCGCCGGCATAGCCCGCGCACGTTATTCTCCTGCAAGTGCAGCTCCCGCAGTGCCGGTGGCAGGTGTGCCGGCAGCTGCTCCAGAGCGTTGGCGTACAGGTAGAGCACGCGCAGGGCCGGCAGCCGACCCAGCCGTGCCGGGATCCCCGCGTCGCCGATCCGGTTGTTCTGCAGGAATAGGGTGGTGGCGCCGGGCGGGAGCCCCTCGGGCACGGCTGTCAGCCCCCGGTCATTGCAGTAGACGCGACCGCCGGCACAGCGACACACGGCGGGACAGGCTGCGACAGCCGCGACGGCGACGAGGACGACGGTGGTGACAGCGGTCAGGGGTGGGGATGGCCCCCCCCGTAGCGCCCAGGGTGGAGGAGGGAGGGGGAAGAGGGGAAGGAAAGGGGAAGGGGGGGCCATGGGTGCGTGGGGGTCCTGTGGGTTGGAGGGAGGTGTCAGGACAGTGGGGTGGGGATACACCCTGGGGGACCTGGGTGCCGTGACCCAGCCCCATGCTGATCCCAAATATGGGACAGGTGCCCCCACCTCAGCACCCCTCCACCATAGGGGGCCCAGAATGCCCACCTTGACCCCCTAGAAAGGGCAGGGACACCCCTCCCTCCCATTATAGGGCATCTCCTCAATAATATCTATAGTTCACAGACCCCTTCAAGCCCATCCCCTGTAGGGGATTCCCTTGACCCCATAGCAAGAGTAGGAACTCCCCAGGCCCCCATCATCATAGGGGGGCCCAGGCGTCCAGGTGTGGTGGGGTAGGGCCCTACCTGGGTCCACCTCGGTCCTCGTGCAACGGTCGTCCCTGTGCGATGGGTCCTCGTGCGGGGCCACCGCTACCGGTGCCGGTTCTCCATGGCCCCCCCGCCCCGCCGGGGGGGCCGCTTTTAGTGGGGAGGGAGTGTGAGCCGGGGGGTCCTCCTGTGACAGCCCCCCTCATGACAAACCTGCCAGGACCCAGGTGTCCAGGCCCCCCCCCGGTGCCAATTACCAGCGTTGCTAACGAACACCCCTCTCATTAGCAGCATCTCGTTAGGGGACACCCCTGGGACCCTCATGCCCCAGGGGCCCCCTTGCATCAGCCCTGTCCTCGCACAAGGGGTCACATGACCTGTCCCACAAGAGGGGACCCAGGTGATGCCCCCGCAATCAACACCTGTGTAAGCCCCAGATACCCCAGTCCTCCCTGGGGTCTGAGGGGGCTCGGAAGGGTCCTGGGGACCCTGGGTGGTCCTATGGAAGTGAGGAGTCCCTCTCTTGAATGCCAGAGTCCTGCCCCCCCGGCTGGAGCATCCCTGGATACCGGGGGTTTGGATGGGTGGTTTTGGGGGTTTGAGGGTGCTGGTGGGAGGCACGGGGTCTCATGGAGGGAGGGGTCAGGCCCCCGGATACCTAGGTCCCTCTTCCTCCTCCCCCGGCCTGGATGGTGTCTTCCTCTGGCTGGAGCATCCTCGGCTACCGGGAGGGTTTTGGGGGGCTCCGGCGGCCTGATGGGATTTGGGGAGGTTGGGGGAGATCTCATGGCGGCGAGGGGTCACGCCTGGGTGTCCCCCCCCTCTCCTGGATGCCTGGGCCCCTCCCCCTGGATGAAGCATCCTTGGGAAGTCGGGGTGGGGGAGGGGGGAACCGCGTTTTGGGGGGCTAGAAATGTTCGGAAGGGTTTTGGAGGGGGAATCTCTGCGGGGGAGCGTCGCTCCGGGGGTCCAAGGGCGGGGACGGGCCCTGCTCCGGCCGACCGGTCTTTCTCCCGGGCGGGAGCATCCGCGGGTACCGAGGCGGGTGGGGGTGTCGGGGGTGTCGGGGATGTTGGTTTTAAGGGATCCCGAAGCTGCGGTGGGGTCAGGAGCCCTTACCGGGTCGGTATCGGCGCGTGCGGGCCCGGCGGCGGCGGCGGCGGCGGCGGCGGTGGCGGCGGCTGCGGGCGTGGGAAGGCGGCGGCGGCGGAGGGGGGCCTGGGGGCCGGGCCGGACCCGCCCCGGTGAGGGGAGACCCGGCGGGGCCTGGGAGGCTGGGCCGGGCCCACCCCCAGTGCGGGGGGACCCGGGTCTGCGGTGCGTGTGAACGTGGACCGGGTGTAGAACTCGGGGGGGGCGGTGCACTGGCCCATCCTCCCTTCGGTTCCTGGGAAGGAGGTGTGCGGGGGAGGGGGGGCATTCACACCGGGATCCTCCTTCCTCCCACGAGGGGTCCACCGTTCCCCGCTGGTGCCTTCGTTAAGAGGCGGGGGGGGGGTGTGCGAATTTGGTGGTCTCTGGAGGGAAGCGGGGGGCTTCTATGTTCTTTACAGCTCAGAGGTGGAGGGTCCTGCTGCCAGGGCAGGCCAAGACCTAGGACACCCTCCCGCACCAGCTGCCCATGCTGAACCCTTTATTGGGTCCCACTGCCCCGCCCGAGCCCCAACCACCCCTACCCTAAGTGCCCCCCGAAAGGGCCCATGACTTCCTTCCCCCCCAGTCCAACTACTTCCCCAGCCCCAACTGCCCCCCAGGGGGGGGCAGACCTCCCAACACCCTCCCACCCCCTCACCTGCCTCTAGCCAACCCCTCCATGCCCCCGAATCCCCCATCCCAAATAAACATGCTCAGGACTGGGGCCGCATCTTTATTGGGGGATGGGAAGGGGGTTGGGAGGTCACAAGAGGGCCTGTGGGGTCAGGACCCCATGGCTGTGGGGTTGGCACAAGGCCCCTCATGCCAGAGGGGTCACTTGTAGAGAATGTCGTAGTGGCCAGGGCGGTAGAGGAGGCAGACGCGGGGGTGCGAGCCCTCAGGAAACACGTGCGGGTTTGTGGCGCCGCCCTCGCCCCGGTCCATGTATTCCACCAGGATGGAGACGTGCAGCGCCCGCGCCAGCGCGATGATGTGGATGTGGTCGCTCTCCTTGCACATGGGCTCCACTTCCTGCGATGGGACAGGGGCCATGGGTGTACAAGGGGCACGGGGGAAGCCGGTGGGTACACGAGGGGGCGCGAGGCCGCGCGACACCTCACGGGGGCTGCGGGGAGCCGTTTGAGGCCGGGGGGCCACGTGAGGGGCGGGGGGGCAGGGCGAGATCACGTGAGAGGCTGGGGGGCAGCACGAGGCCAGTGCACACGTGAGGGTGACCGACACCACACGAGAACCTTCACAGATCCCCAAAGTGGTGCGACAGGCTCTGTGGGGCCCAAGTGGCACTCGTGTGAAAATGTGTGAAGCTGAGAGGGGCCCTAGAAGGTGCTGGGTAGCCTGTGTGAGGCCACGTGACACCCTCTGAACCATGCACGAGTCCTGTGTGAGCCCCACACAACCTGCGTGAGCCCCAGGAGCCCCCACGAGCCCCTCGTGAGGTGTGAGTTCTCTGAACCCTGTGCCAGCCCCGCGTGCCCCAAACCTACTGGCAAAACTCCCGTGTGCCCCGTGCCAGCCCCGTGTGCCCCCATGCCCCAAACCTCCTGGCAGAACTTCTGTGTGACCCATATGTCGCTGCCACGGTGACAGAACTCCCATGTGCCCCATGCCAGCCCTGTCTGCACCTACTACGATGACAGAAATCTTGTGTGCCCCACATGCCCCACATCTGCTGGTAGAACTGTGTGCCCCCTGTGCCCCATACATGCTGGCAGAATTCCCACGTGCTCCTGCTGATAGAACTCCCACACGCCCCACGGAAGCTCCACATGCGCTGCGCGCCCTGATGCGATGACAGAACTCCTGTGTGCCCCACATGCCCCATACCTGCCGGCAGAGCTCCCGTGTATCCCCTGTGCCCCCGCTACGGTGACAACTCCCATGTGTCCCACGCCAGCCCCGTGTGCCCTAAGGGCATGTCTGCCCCTGAACTGATGACAGAAGTCCTGTGTACCCCACATGCTCTATACCTGTTGGCAGAACTCTTTGATGCTGCGGCCACCCTCGAGGAACTGCTCAAAGAAGCGGCGGTGGCGCTGGAGGCAGCCCGAGGTCAGCAGTCGCAGATAAACCACCAGGTAGTCCGAGGTCGCTGGTTCGTTGAAGGCTGCCAGCAGCTCTGGCAGCGGCACACGGCGCTCCACACGCTCGATTAGCTCCATCAGCTGCAAATGGAAAGCACAGGTGCGTGTTGGGGCACACACACACGTGTGTCAGGGACACGTGCACACGTGTGTGTCACGGGGGACACACACGTGTGTCACGGGGGACACACCCAGGTCAGGGGTGCGCATCCGTGAGGGGCACACACACACACGCTAGGAGCACAAACAGGATGCACGCGCGTCAGGTACACGCACGTGCGTCGGTTGGCACGCGCCAGGGCACGTGCCAGGTCACAGGGATCCCCATTCACCCCGTGCGCTCCCCACGCCCACCGTGTTATGGAAGTCCTCGATAGTGAACTCAGTGAAGCCTTGCGCCACCAGCTCCTCCTTGCTGCGCGCTGACACCTCCTTGAACCTGGGGGGACATCGGGGGCCCGGGGAGACTTAGGAGGCTCAGGGGGGACCCAAAAGGGTTTGGGATGTCTGGGGGGGGTGCTCAGGGGGTCTCGGGGAGAGCCCAGAGGGGGACTAAATCATTGAGGAAGACGAACCCAGGGGTTGGGGGGAAGCCCAGGGATCCCAGGGGGCTGGGAAGCAAGGGGCCCGAGTGGGAGCTCTGGGGTTATCAGTGCTGCAGGGTCCTTGTGAGGGGATGCCGGGGGGGGCTCTGGGGGTGCCTGGAGGGGCTCTGGGAGCCCTGAGTGGGATCTGGGGATGCTGGGAGAATAGTATGGGGGAGACTATGGGGGTTCCCAGGGTGTCCCTGGGGGCGCTCCAGGGGGCTCTGGGGGTCCGCACCGCTGCAGCTCCTGCCCATCCTCCAGTAGAGCCTCCAGGTGGGCAAAGCCGAAGGCGCGGTAGAAACAATTCCCGTCTGGACGTGTCTTCCGGATGTAGGAATATTTCTGGAGCAGATCCTGAGAGGCAGAGGGGACGTGGGGACACTGTGGGGGCGGGGGAACACCCCCAGGACAGCTGGGCTGCTTCCAGTCCTGTGCTGGCGTCCCAGAGTGGCTCCCAGTCCCATACTGGTACTATTCCCAGTACCACACCAGTGTCCCAGTGCCTCCCAGTATCTCCCAGTGGCTCCCAGTGCTGCACCTTGATCTTCTCCTGGTACACGTGGTCATCCTCGGCGTATTCCTTGTAGAGCTCCGAGAGCTCCAGGCGCTCCGACACCAGCGGGTTCTGCACCGCAATCTAGGTGGCAAGATTGGAGGGGGTCAGGGACTGTGGGAGAACTGGGGACCCCCACGGGGGGTTGGAGAGGTTTGAAGACCTCCGTGAGGGTTTTGGGGCACACTCTGAGGGGGTTTAAGGGAGGGTTTTGGGAGGAGTTCTGAGGGGTCGGGGGTTTCCTCACCTCCTGCTGGATGCGGTCCTGCTGCGCCATGATCGCCTCGTCGTAGGCCAGGCAGTTCACGCCTGGGGGGACATGAGGGGTCAGCGGGGACCCAGAGCGGCTCCTCAGCTCCCCAGGGGGGTCTGGGGAGTGGGGACGCCTCCTGAGTGAGTCCTGGGGATAAGGCGGAGTCCGTTGGGAGCCCGGGGAGGGATGGAAGGGGTCTTGGGAGGGTTGGGAGGAGGGGGTTAGGGGGTATCGGGGCATCGCGATGGTGGGGGGGCGGGGGGGAGAGGCTATAGAGGTCCCCCGGGAGGAGCGGGGAAATCCCGGGTCGGGGTTCCCGGGCCGCAAGGCCGGGGGCCGAGAGGGGCCTCGGAGGGGCCCGTCGGTACCGTCCGCGTCGCTGCCGCCGAGCGGCTCCGGTTGCGGCTGCTGAGGCTCCTCCGCCGCCATCGCCGCTCTGTCCGCGCCGCTTCCGGGGCACCACCCGCCGCTTCCGGGGCACCTGCAGCGCCGCTTCCGGAGCACCGCCCGCCGCTCCCGGGAAACACCGGCACCGCCCGCCCGTTCCGGGACAACGCTGGCACCGCCCGCCCGTTCCGGAGCACCGCCCGCCGCTCCCGGGGCGCCGCCGCTACGCCCGGCACTAGCGATAGGCCCTGCCCGCGGAGACGGGAGCCGAGTGGCTCCGCCCCCGAAAACAGGCTCTGCCCCCGCGGCGGAAGCCCCGCCTCTGTCAGGAAGAGCACCCGGCCCGAGCGTTGGCGGCGCAGGCGACCCTCATCGGGTTTTGCGGCCAAGAAAAACGAGAACAGAGATGAGGGAATCGGGCTCCAATTAATAATGATTTGATGGGCGTACGAATCATTCCCGGCCGTTTACAGTTCCCGCGCCGCGCGCCTCGCGCCGGCCCCACCCCCCGCTCGCTCCGGCCCCGCCCCCGGCTCGCCCCGCCTCTGCCCGCGCCCCCGAGTCACGCGGCCGCCTGAGGGGCCAAGCGCCATTCTGTCCCCTCGCATGAGGGACAGCCTCAGGTGTGCCCAGCGAGGATGACGAGGGGCGGGACAGCCTCAGGTGTGACCAGGTCTACTCGTTCGACTCGATCAGCAGGTCTATCTTTTAAATACAGACACTAGATCTACTTGCCTAAGAGAGACCAGGTCTACCCTTTCGACACCGATACCAGGTCTACCCCCTAAAAGGCAACACATCTACCCTTTCGACAAACACAGGTCTACCCTTTCGACACAGACACCAGGTCTACCCTCCTAAGTGTGATCAGGTCTACCCCCTAAAAGAGACCAGATCTACCCTCTGGACACAAACACCAGGTCTACCTCCTAAAAGAGAACAGGTCTACCTGTCCGACTCGGACACCAGGTCTACCGGTCCTGGAGGGAACGGGGGCGGGGCCGCGCGGAGGGGCCGGGCCGGGCTGGGCGGGCAGAGCGGGCGGGGCCATCCCGGTGCAGCCTGTCCTGCAGGCCCCCGGGGATGTCCCTGCAGCAGCGCAACGGGTGCGGAGAGCGCAGCGGGTGCAGCGAGCTGGGGCGGGGCTGTGGCCCGGGAGAGTGTGCATAATCCCCCAAAACCTGCACCCAAAACGAGCCCAAAACAACCCCAAAGCCCGGAGACAAACGCCGCGGGATGGTGCTGGCCCCGCCCCCCGGCTCGCACTGGCCCCGCCCCCTGGCCGCCCGGCCCCGCCCTGCACGGCCCCAAGAACGCCCCTGTCCCCGCAGGCTCCGCCGCCGCCCCCCCTTCCCCTTGTCCCGGGAGAGCTCCCGGACGGGACGTGACCGCGGAGCTCCCCCCGCCTTTCCCCGGCCCCAGCAGCGCCCGCTGGGGCTGCGGCGGCGGCGGGAGCCGCGCGGAGGGGCCGGGCCGAGCAGAGCCGGGCGGGCAGAGCGGGCGGGGCGGGGCCGCAGGGACAGCGCGGGCTGCGATTGGACGGAGGCGCTCGAGTGCTGATTGGGTAGCCCCTGCCCGGCCCGCGCTATTCAAGGGCGGGCGGGGGCGGCGCAGCTGCGGCGGTTTGAGCGGGGGGGCTGAGGGTGGGGCCGAGGGTGGGGCCGGTGCCGCTGCGGCTTTTTGAGCGTGAGGGCTGAGCTAGGGCCGCTGTGCTGGGCTGGGGGGAAGAGACCGCCGTGTGCTCTGTGCTCGTGGAACGAGGGAGCTGGGGGGTGTTTGGGGCCGCTGTGCTGGGGAGAGCGCCGTGTCCTCTGTGCTCGTGGAAGGGGGGAGCTGAGCTTGTTTGGGGCTGCGCCGCGCTGTACTGGGCTGGGAGGAGGAGAGCGCCGTGTCCTCTGTGCTCGGGGGAGCTGGGCGGTGTTTGGGGCTGTGCCGGGCTGGGGAGAGCGCCGTGTCCTTTGTGCTTGGGGAGGAGAGCGCCGTGTCCTCTGTGCTCGGGGGAGCTGGGGCGTGTTTGGCTGCGCGCTGTGCTGGGCTGGGGGAGGAGAGCGCCGTGTCCTCTGTGCTTGTGGAATGGGGCAGCTGTACTGGGCTGGGGGGAGAGAGCGCTGTGTCCTCTGTGCTTGTGGAACGGGGGGGCTGAGCGGTGTGCTGGGCTGGGGGGAGAGAGCGCTGTGTCCTCTGTGCTTGTGGAACGGGGGGGCTGAGCGGTGTGCTGGGCTGGGGGGAGAGCGCCGTGACCTCTGTGCTCAGGGGGGAGAGCGCCGTGTCCTCTGTGCTTGTGGAAGGGGGGAGCTGAGCGTGTTTGGGGTCATGCTGGGCTGGGGGGAGGAGAGCACTGTGTCCTCTGTGTTCGTGGAAGGGGGGGAGCTGAGCGTGTTTGGGACTGTGCTGGGCTGGGGGGAGGAAAGCACCATGTCCTTTGTGCTCGGGGGGGAGAGCGCCGTGTCCTCTGTGCTCGTGGAATGGGGGGGCTGAGCGGTGTGCTGGGCTGGGGGGAGAGCGCCGTGACCTCTGTGCTCGTGGAAGGGGGGAGCTGAGCGTGTTTAGGGCTGCGCCGCACTGGGCTGGGCTGGGGGAGAGCACTGTGACCTCTGTGCTAGTGGAACAGGGGGCTGAGCGGTGTGCTGGGCTGGGGGAAGCACCGTGTCCTTTGTGCTCGGGGGGAGAGCACCGTGTCCTCTGTACTTGTGGAATGGGGGGGCTGAGCGGTGTGCTGGGCTGGGGGGAGAGCGCCGTGACCTCTGTGCTCGTGGAAGGGGGGAGCTGAGTGTGTTTGGGGCTGCGCCGCGCTGTACTGGGCTGGGGGGAGGAGAGCACCGTGTCCTCTGCGCTCCGGGTGGAGTATGCCGTGTCCTCTGTGCTCGGGGGAGCTGGGCGGTGTTTGGGGCTGTGCCGGGCTGGGGAGAGCACCGTGTCCTCTGTGCTCGGGGAGGAGAGCGCCGTGTCCTCTGTGCTCGGGGGAGCTGGGGCGTTTGGCTGCGCGCTGTGCTGGGCTGGGGGGGGAGAGCACCGTGTCCTCTGTGCTTGTGGAATGGGGCAGCTGTACTGGGCTGGGGGGAGAGAGCGCTGTGTCCTCTGTGCTTATGGAACGGGGGGGCTGAGCGGTGTGCTGGGCTGGGGGGAGAGTGCTGTGTCCTCTGTGCTCGTGGAAGGGGGGAGCTGAGCGTGTTTGGGGCTGCGCCGCACTGGGCTGGGCTGGGGGGGGAGAGCACTGTGACCTCTGTGCTAGTGGAACAGGGGGGGCTGAGCGGTGTGCTGGGCTGGGGGGAAGCACCGTGTCCTTTGTGCTCGGGGGGAGAGCACCGTGTCCTCTGTACTTGTGGAATGGGGGGGCTGAGCGGTGTGCTGGGCTGGGGGGAGAGCGCCGTGACCTCTGTGCTCGTGGAAGGGGGGAGCTGAGTGTGTTTGGGGCTGCGCCGCGCTGTACTGGGCTGGGGGGAGGAGAGCACCGTGTCCTCTGCGCTCCGGGTGGAGTATGCCGTGTCCTCTGTGCTCGGGGAGCTGGGCGGTGTTTGGGGCTGTGCCGGGCTGGGGAGAGCACCGTGTCCTCTGTGCTCGGGGAGGAGAGCGCCGTGTCCTCTGTGCTCGGGGGAGCTGGGGCGTTTGGCTGCGCGCTGTGCTGGGCTGGGGGGGGAGAGCGCCGTGTCCTCTGTGCTTGTGGAATGGGGCAGCTGTACTGGGCTGGGGGGAGAGAGCGCTGTGTCCTCTGTGCTTGTGGAACGGGGGGGCTGAGCGGTGTGCTGGGCTGGGGGGAGAGTGCTGTGTCCTCTGTGCTCGTGGAACGGGGGAGCTGAGTGTGTTTGGGGCCTTGCTGGGCTGGGGGGAGGATAGCGCCGTGACCTCTGTGCTCGGGGGGGAGAGCGCTGTGTCCTCTGTGCTTGTGGAAGGGGGGAGCTGAGCGTGTTTGGGGTCATGCTGCGCTGGGGAGAGGAGAGCGCCGTGTCCTCTGTGCTCGTGGAAGGGGCGGAGCTGAGCGTGTCTGGGGCCGTGCTGGGCTGGGGGGAGGAAAGCACCATGTCCTTTGTGCTTGGGGGGGAGAGCGCCGTGACCTCTGTACTCGTGGAACAGGGGGGCTGAGCAGTGTGCTGGGCTGGGGGGAAGCACCGTGTCCTCTGTGCCCGGGGGGGAGAGCGCCGTGTCCTCTGTGCTCGTGGAAGGGGGGAGCTGAGCGTGTTTGGGGTCATGCTGGGCTGGGGAGAGGAGAGCGCCGTGTCCTCTGTGCTCGTGGAACGGGGGAGCTGGGGCGTGTTTGGGGCCGCACTGTGCTGGGCAGCGGGGCTGGTTATGCCCGTTATCTGCCGGGAAGAGCCGGGGGGAGCCGTGGCGAGGCTGAGGGGCTGTTGCTCTCTGGGTGTGTCAAGTTTTGCTTTGGAATCCCAGAGCCTCTCCCCGTGCAGGGCTATGAGGCAAAGGCTGCTCTAACTCGGTTTTTTGGTGCTGACTTAATGCTCTTTCCTCAATCTGTGTCAATTTCCAGCCTCCCTCGTGGTTTCCCCTGGTGCTGGTGGAACGTGGTGAGTTGTGCTTCCTGCTGGTAGAGAGAAGGACCTTGGAAAGCTTCTCTGCGACCACAGCTGTGCTGAGCCTGGGAGTTTGTACTGGTAAGAACAGGGCTTATACTCCCAGTGAGGAACTGGGTTTTGCTGTTGGAAGGTGGGATATGCATGTGCCTTTTAAATACAAGGAGAGGCAGAAGCTGGGAGGGACCCTGAGCAGGTTTGGTGGTACGACAGCGGCTTCAAAAGACCTTGATTGTGGGTAAAGTGTCCAGGAAACGTTACTCCTTTTTTGCAGGGAGGCAGTTTGACAGGGGGTGCTCTCTAGCCTCCGTATCCAAGTGTCAGGAAAAAAGGGGGGATGCTGTCTGAGTTTTGAGGTGTAATGAGAGCTGATACTTTTTGCAGGGGGCTGTGGCGTGGAAACTGCACAGAGCTGAGCCAGGGGATTGAAAGGGATTAACCCAGCAAGGTAAAGAAACAAGGAAGAAGGGAAGTGAGGCAGCAGCCAAGCAGCACCAAGTTCCTCTGTCAGCAGGTGAGTTGTCTTGAGGTTCCTAAGGCAGGCACTTGGGACTTTGGGTGCTCCAGACAGAGAAGACCGATGAAGCCCCTCAGAATCCTTATCAGGGTAGGTGTGTATGGTTGTAAGTGCTGGGGAATGTCCTGAGCATGGAACAGGAATGCAGGGAACAAAATGAACCCTCACGGAATGCTGAGCCCTCCCATCAGCTGCAGCGGAGGCACCTCTGTGTGCACTGTGGGAGCTGATGGCCAGGGCCCCCGGTGGGCTGGGATCAGTGCAGGGTGTTGTCAGCAAGGAATGCCTGGCTTCTAAAACTCACCAGCTGAGTCTTAGAGGCTTCTTTGCCAAGCTGTTTTGAGGCAGCCAAATTGGCCCCAGGCAGGGACTCTGCGCCTGCTCTCCTGGTGTGCCCAGGGATCT